CACACCAGCCCTGCCCCCAGGGCCGGCTGAGCCAGTCACGAAAAATAAATAAATAAATAAAATAAAAATAGCTCAGTGATGTCTGATTCTTACGTTAGCTGAGCACTTTTGCAAACAGAATATAAAGTGCTTTAACTTATTTTTTTTTTCCTTTTTAAGACAGGGTCTTGCTATGCCGTTCAGGCGGGCCTTGAGCTCACTTTGTAGCCCAAGTTGATCTATGCTGAGTGAATGTCTGTCGATACTAAGGCCAACACGGGTCTCCACGTTATGCTGACAACATCGAGAGTAGAAGCTAGACCAAAAACTCCTTATTGAATTCCACAGCCTCGTCCATCAGGGCAGCAGGAACCTGCCCCACCCCCCCGGGTGCTGACTCAGTGGCAGCTGGCCCCCAGTCCCCCAGTCCGCCCCGCTGTTCACCCCAAGGCCCTATGCTGGCCTGCCCTCTCTCAGCTGGAGAGGTCAGACCTGCACGGACGTAAGAAGCAGTGCTCCAGTACCCCCTGCCCATCCAACCACCCACTGCCCAGGCTAACCCGGAGAGAATACAACGGATCAGATACCCACAGCCTCCAGCAACTGTCCCAGGACCTCAGGAGCAACCAGATGTGTGTGATTGAATGAGACTGGGCCAGATGGGGTGGGAAAGTTGTGCAGATGCATGACTCAAATGGTGTGGAGAGCTGGGCATGGTGGCACACGTCGGTAATCCTAGCATTCGGGAGGCTAAGCAGGATTCCTTCAAGTTCAAGGCCACCCTGAGACTCCTCATAAATAAATAAATAAATAGATGTGGAGGGCTGGGTACACACCTATAGTAATCCTAGCTACTCAGCAAGCTGAGGCAGGAATATCACAACTTCAGGGGCAGCCTGGGCCAATTAGACCCTGTCTCAAAAACTCTTTAGCTCAGCAGACTAACATGCCTGCTTAAGCAGAGCGCGGAGACGGCTTCCCCAGCACCACATGCTGTGCTGGCCCTAGCCCTTGGGGCATGCTGAGATGTGATTGAGACTGGGCATGGTGGTGCCCACCTGTAATCCCAGGGAGGCTGAAAACAGGAGAATCACTACAAGTCTGATCTGTGTCATGAGGCTGTGAAGACCCTGTACTAAACATATTTAAAAAATAAAAATTCAAAATGGCTAGGGATATAGGTGCTGGTTGAGTAACTGCCAAGAATCTGAAGCCCAGAGTTCAATTCCCAGTGTTAGAAAGAAAAAAAAAAAAAAAAAAAGTGGAGATAAGGAGGCTAATTCTACAAATTACATATTACTGAATTTTTGCATCTTAAACAAAATTTTAGGAAAGTATATCATCCACTGTGGTGGGTTTGAAACAGTGATCTCTAAAAGCCGGCATGGATTCACTTCGAATAAATACACAATGTACAGATTCCGAGGAACACACTGGTTTATAGCAAGACAGCCACCTTTTACTTACTACCAAATATGCTGAGAGTTACCCATGGTGCATCGGGGCCTGTGGCCGCCACGCCCGCGCTGAACTCACTGTATGAACGAGCAACAGGCCATCAGCTATGAAAGCCACAGTCAGCCCGGGCCAGAATGAGGGCGAACAGACCCAGCCTTGCTGAGGCGACTCTTGAGCAGAGATCCATCAAAATAAGGCTGCCGTGTACCGAGGAGGACGCACGTTCCTCCAGGGCTGGGAAAAGAAGCACTAACTCCGGGAAGGAATTTCCAGTTCCACTGTACGCGTGATGGGAGCCGGGAGCCTCCGGAGCCGGGAGCTAACCTGATTCGCTGGGCTTTGTTCGCTTACTTATTTGTTATTTTGGGGTTTTCAACACAGGGTCTTGCTGTGTTCAGGCTGGCCTTGAACCTACCACATGGCCCAGTCTGGCTTCAAACTTGAAGCAGTCCTCCTGCCTCGGTCTCCTGAGTTGTGAGATTACAGGCATGAGCCAGCCAGCACACCCAGTTCTGGTTTGGATTTAATGTCACTGGGCATGGTGGAGCATGCCTGTAATCCCAGCCCTGGGGAGGCTGAGACAGGAGGATCCTTGCAAATTGGAGACCAGCCTGTGCTACAAAGTGAGCTCAAGGCCAGCCTGAACAACACAGCAAAACCTTGTCTGAAAAGGAAAAAGACAAATAAGAAAAGAAACAGGAACTAAAATAAGATGCTATAATATCTGATAGAGAACACACAATAGCTAGCAGAGAAAACATGTGTAATATACTCCTAACACTTCATATTGGGAGAAAAAGTATCATAGGCACTGAATTAAAAGCCCTCTCTGACCAGAGCTGAGCAAAAAGATCCATGGAACGAGGAGGGCCTTAAAATAAAGGTGGTCAGGAAGGCTATGGTCCTCTGCTTTGCTTCTTTCTCTTTTACTTTCTCCTTTCTTTCTTCCATTTCTTTTTTGTGGCAGGCTTCTATCCATGCCAGACAAAGGCTCTACCATGGAGCTATACCCTCAAGACCTCTTAATTATTTTGTTCAATTTTAAGACATACTCTTGCTAAATTACCCAGGCTGACTTTGAACTTGTGGTCCTTCTGCTCCAGCCCCTGGAGTCGCTGGAACGCTTGTACCGCCAAACCTGACGTGCTTGGCATGTGTGGCAGGGCGCGCCAGTTCTGGGGACTGAGCCCCGGGCCTTCGTACTACACTGCTCCTCTCTTGTAAAAATTTTTATTTCGAGACAAGCCCTGGCTGGATCACTCAGTTGCCGAGGCTGGGCTCAGCTTTGCAATCCTGTCTCAGCCTCCATGTGCTTGGGTTATGGGCAAGCATCACCATCCTGGCTCACACTCTGCTTCTTGAGGAACACCACTACTTTCCCCAGGAGTACTATCTCAGACATGTGGCAGGAATTCATAACACACTTCTGAAAAAAGATTAAGTTTGGGTGTTTGGTGGGAAATACAGAACTACTGAAGGAATCAGAATAGAAATGCTCTATCCTCCAGATGTGTCAGGGAAGGTTCTCCTCATCCTTGGACATGCTCACAGGGAGCATCAGAGGACCAAGGAGACCAAGGACCAAAGGACCTCAGCCTGATCGATCAGTCATGCTAGAACCTGAGTCAGGACACTATGCTTCCCCTCTAGGCCTGCAAGTAAATGTTGGCCATGTGACTGTGCGAGATTTAACTCTTCTGAGGCTTAGTTGTTTCATCTGTAGAAATTGAGGATACTGGGCCAGGGATGTAGTTCAGTGGAGCAGCACCAATTACAAGGTCCTCAGTTCAATTCACTGAAAGAAACTTCTCACATTTATTGAGGGCTAAAAACAGGCTAAGGAATATGCGTAACTAATTTGGTACAAACAAACTGCTATTTACATCACCTTCCAGTATTTACCAAACTCTTTAAATTTACACATCCCTAATCAGTATGTTCCGGGTAAAGGAACAAAGAACAGACAGGTACTGTCTCCAGGAATTTCTCACCTTGTTTGGAGCTTGTGGGAGTTCCTTGCTCCCTTGGGACAGCAGGCTTCTGTCTCCTACCTACAGTTGGCATATGTTAAGTGTTCAGGAAATATTAGCTGAGCTTGTACTCCATAGAATGGCTCTCAGAAATCTATTGTCTCCAAGGACTTTTGAGAAGTTGCTGCACAAGCAGATGCTGTGAAAAATAAAATGCAATGGCCACAAGATTGAATAATGACTGACCTTGAAGAGTATCTGCAGTTTATAAGGCTTTTCCTCCCAAACTAGCCAGGCCTGCATGCCTGTCATCCCAGCACTAGGAGGCTAGGGCAGGACGATTACAAGTCTTAAGGCTAGCCTGGGTTGACCTAGACAGTTCAAGCCTGGCCTGGACTACACAGTGACAGCCTGTCTCAGGAAAACCAAACCAAACCAACAAACTCAAATGGTCAGTGATCTTCCTTACTGGAGTTAGTGGGTGCCGCTTGCCTGAAATTCCAGGGTGTTTGTTTCCTTAATCTGGATGCCGCCTCTCCAGAGGGACAGAAGTAGAGGCCAGGAGAGATTTAACCAACAAGTGGCGTCTGTATCCCAGGTGTAGGTGGGATTCACCGCAGGCAGGTCCTTTAGCCCTCTTGGTGTACTGCTTTCCTGAAGGTGTATCAGAGCTAAGCCTTGCTTCTAGGGGTAGCCTGGTCCTGGAAAGCAGCCAGAACCATCTTAGTGGGTGACTCAATGAAAGAGAAGAGAGATCCCCTTCCTCTTCTCAGAGCCCTCCACTGAGGCCACCAGCAAGCTTTCCTGATCTACTTCCTACCTTTCCACAGACACTGGCATGATCTTAGTTCTCCTACTCACCAGTTATTTGCCACGGACAAGTAACTTTGAGCTTCAGGGTGTTTTCAGTTCAGGCTTTCATTTGCAGTGCGGGGGCCATGGCATGCTGTGCTAGTGCGCCTCTCCATCCCAGGCTCTTGCACTGGTTCTGATATCTTTCCCGTCCTACCACTATCTCCTCTGCCCTCCCACCCCCATGTACTTGGTGCATAAATTTACTTCTTACATTTATTAGCATTACAGGGTGCTCACACTGTGGAAACTTGCTTGAGAATCCAAAGAAATGGTCTCCCTCATACACCCATAATACGGTACATTAAAACTCAATTCATGTGCATTTTCTGTAATTTCACACACTTAAAGCAATTATAACTAGCATTGGAGTTTAAATCTGCTGGAGATCTCCTGTGTTCTACTCCTGCCACCGACAAATTCCAGCCTGCGGTGTAGACCCTGGCGGGGCTTGCAGGCCCAGGAAGGCCCAGAGCTGGTGCAGGCCTCTCGTGTGTACCTCCCTAGGTCGGGGATTAGCTATTTGTTTTTGCAAACTTTCACACTGGTTCTTCGCAAGTTTACTGATGTCAAATCCTCGCATCAGTAACTGAAGGCACAAAAGCAGCCCTGTGGTGTGTGCTTCTTGATGGTCAAAGTCTAAAGGCATGATGTTACCAAGGGCCTGGCGCACAGCTCCGCGTGGCTCGAGGGCTGTTGCTCGCCTGCACAAAGCATCCTCCCGAGCCTGGCAGCAGGCCGCGTGGACAATGGCTGGCCTGGACCGCCTCCGGCGCGAACTACAGGTCCCAGCGTGCTCCACGGCGATTGTACGCATGCGCGGGGCGGGTTGCTGCGTCCACCGCGCAGGGAGGCGGGCGCGCACGGACGGGTGGGTCCGTCTTCTGGTTGTGGGGCGGAGGTGGTGGCCAGCCCTGGGAACCGGACGGCGGCGGGCGGTTCGTGCGGATCCTGAGAGAGACCAGCGGCGCCAGCCAGGTGAGCGAGCCCCGGTGCTCTCCAGGAAGTCGGCGTGGGTGCGGCGGGGAGGCGCCGGCCTTGGAGCTGGAGACTGCGCCCTCCGACGCCCGCTGTGCCCCTGTCCCCGGCCTCCAGCGGCGGGGGTCGCGGAGACGTGGGCGGCCGAGGAGGACCCCGCGGCTGGGGGCTGCTGGAGCGTCGCGGCCCGGATCGCGCGACGCCCCGCCCGCCCCCAGCCGAGCGCAGGGAGCGTGGCCCCGCGGACGCGTCTGCCGTGCGATTGCGAGAGCACCAGAAGCGGAGCAGGACCTCGGGGCGCGCCCTTGGGTGGCGTCGCGGTCTGCAGGTCGCGCGGAGACTTCCTGCCCGGGCGTGCGTCTGGGTCCGGCTGCGGGGCTGGGCCGGGCTGCTGGAGGCCGCCCGGAGCGCACGGGACGTAGGGAACAGCCGCGCTGCTTTCTCGTTAAATGTTCTGTTAGGGATTGCGTTTCCAGCATGCTCTTGGCTTCTCTTAGCACCAAAAGTCATCTGGCAGTGAACACTGCAGGAAAGCCGATCCCAGGAGGTCGCGCTGCACAGGAAATGGACTGTGGAGGTCGGAGTGAGCTGTGGGCAGTCTCTCTCCATGTAACATTTTCCAGCAGCTCAAGTTTCTTTTTCTGAGAACCCTTCAGATTAACTTTTTGGCAGATTAAATTGATTAGTGAATTGGCCTGTCAAAAATAGTAGGGTTACAGAGTGGTTTTGTCCGGGCTCTTGTCCCTGTTGTTTCCTCCTAGTACTAAGCACCTTTAAAAAGCCTACCTGTTAAGAGCCCACAGCCATTGACGTAGAGTCCTCTCCAGTGCAGTGCTTCTGAAGGAGCAAAACGTGAATTAAAGCGAGTTCTTTGTATTCTGGCTCTTGTAACTTTCTTGCTTTTGCAGTTTGTACATCTTCAAAATGAGTTGAGTGGGCTACATGATCTCACAGTTATCCTAGCATTCTTTGATTTTTTTTTTGGCGGGACCGGGGGTTGAACCCAGGCCCTTGTGCTTTCCAGGGAAGCGCTTATTCCTCTGAGCTATCTCCCATTCTTTGATTTTTAAAAATTAATTTATTCTGTTCAGGAAACATTGGCCATGTACATAACTTTAACCTCTGTCCTAGGCACGAAGGAACAAAAATAGTTACTGAGGATGCCGCCGACCTGCTGCTCAGTTTCCCCTAATCCCTGTGCACAACATCTGGGCCACATTACTCTGTAATTAAAAACTTCACCTGAAGTTAAGTACCTATAGGTCAAACCTAATTACAGTGGGGGGTTTCTTCAAAGGTTTTTCCTGCTGGGGATGTGGTCCAGTAGTAGAGCCGTTGCCTAGTGTGCATGTTGAGGCCTGGGTTT